TTCTCTCCACATCCTCGGTTGTTTCTCCTCCTCTTCCTCGCCCTCCTCCCATGGAAGAGATGGAAGAGGAGCTCAAGTGTCCCGTCTGTGGCTCCTTCTACCGGGAGCCGCTCATCCTGCCCTGTTCGCACAACCTCTGCCAGGCCTGCGCCAGGAACATCCTGGTCCAGACGCCGGAGGCCGAATCCCCGCAGAGCCGTCGCCGCCGCGCTTCCGGCTCGGCCTCCACCGCATCGGGCGACTATGACTACCTGGACCTGGACAAGATGAGCCTCTACAGCGAGGCCGACAGCGGCTACGGCTCCTATGGGGGCTTTGCCAGCGCCCCGCCGACCCCTTGCCAGAAGTCGCCCAACGGCGTGAGGGTTTTCCCGCCGACGTTGCCGCCACAACCGCCGGGTTCAGGAGCCACGGGAGCTTCGTCGTCGTCATCATCCTCACACCTTCACCCTCCAGGCTCGTCACTGGCCCCGGTGCCCCGCAACGCATGCCTAACTTGCCCACAATGCCACCGCAGCCTCATCCTAGATGAGCGGGGTCTGAGGGGCTTCCCAAAGAACCGGGTGCTGGAGGGCGTCATCGACCGCTACCAGCAGAGCAAGGCGGCCGCCCTGCGGTGCCAGCTGTGCGAGAAGGCACCCAAGGAGGCCACCGTGATGTGCGAGCAGTGCGACGTCTTCTACTGCGACCCCTGCCGCCTGCGCTGCCACCCACCCCGGGGCCCTTTGGCTAAGCACCGGCTCCTGCCCCCGGCACAAGGCAGGGTCAGCCGCCGACTCAGCCCACGCAAGATCTCCACCTGCACCGACCATGAGCTGGAGAACCACAGCATGTACTGCGTCCAGTGCAAGGTGCCCGTCTGCTACCAGTGCCTGGAGGAGGGCAAGCACAACAACCATGAGGTCAAGGCCCTGGGTGCCATGTGGAAGCTCCATAAGGTCAGTGGAGTATGGGAATGTACATGATTGTCCTTATCTTTATTACACTTGGGGTGTTGTGTGGTTTCCGGGCTGTATGGCCACATGCTAGCAGCATTTTCTCCTGACATTTCGCCTGCATCCATAAAAGGCTGGGAACTAGCATAGATCTTTTAAAAAATGTAAGATAGATCAGGCTTGGGCAAACTTGGGCCCTCCAGGTGTTTTGGACCGGTAGGCTGTTAGGAATTGTGGGAGTTGGAGTCCAAAACACCTGGAGGGCCAAGTTTGCCCATGCCTGAGATAGATAGATAGATAGATAGATAGATAGATAGATAGATAGATAGATAGATAGAGATAGCCATTTTATACAAGGGACCCTTGCATATAATGGGGCTCGAGTATCCATAGATTTGGGTATCCACTGAAACCAAACTTCAGTGGATCCAAAGACCCAATGTTTAGAGTTATTTTACTACAACACTATATATAACACACCACTGTATATTATCGTACAGTGGTGGATTTTGGTATCCACAAGGGATCTAGCACCAAACACCGATAGATACCAAAGGTCCAACGTATAGAGCTATTCTGGAACTAGCATAGATCTCTTTTTTTTTGTCGTGTCAGGAGCAACTTGAGAAACTGCAAGGTGCTTCTGGTGTGAGAGAACTGGCCGTCTGCAAGGACGTTGCCCAGGGGACGCCCGGATGTTTTGATGTTTTTACCATCCTTGTGGGAGGCTTCTCTCATGTCCCCGCATGAGGAGCTGGAGCTGACAGAGGGAGCTCATCCGCCTCTCCCCGGATTCGAACCTGTGACCTGTCGGTCTTCAGTCCTGCCGGCACAAGGGTTTAACCCACTGCGCCACTGGGGGCTCAGCATAGATCTTGAAGTTTGGGGAGAATGTGATTAACCATTTCATCAACATGTTGAATTCCAACAACATTCCTTTAAGGTTGGCAAGTATTAATATTCCTTTATTGCACTTGGGATGGGATGGAGATGGAAATAAAAACTATTTTGCTGCCTGAGTCCATGTGTATATACTGATGGTGCATTGGGGCAATTTTGGACTACAACTCCCAGTTTTGGCCAAGGGATACTGGGAGTTGTAGTCCAAAAGAAAAAAAGGAATATCCTTAGATTCTTGGGTGGCTTTCCTGAAGCTTTAAGGTTCCTCCCAAGCCCTTATTTTGGCAAAAGCTCATTTAACTTGTAGGAATGGAATTACCCAAAAGCGCAAAGCAAATATTGGTCCCGGGGATTATAGCAGATTTCCTAATGTGCTAAAAACAAGATTGTCGCCTCTGCTTTGGATGTGAACTTGGTGACAAGACACCATACTCTGCAAATGAGGCAGACCCAGGGAATTAATATATTTCAAATAGAAAGGCATCTTGTGTTTTGGCTTGGAAGACATTGGTTGTGATTGCAGGCAAAACACTCGAGGCATCTGCAGGTGAAATGTCAGGAGAAAGTGCTGCTATAACACAACCATACAGCCCAAAAAATACACAACATCGCAGAGATTCTGACTGTGTAAAAGCCTTTGACAATACATTATCTCTAAATAGAAATGCATGACAGTGTATTGCATGGTAAAGAGTGCAAATGAGGTTGGAAGCAAAGCAACCAAGGGTGAAGAAAATGGCCAGAACTTGGTGTGCCATTTTTCTCTCCCAACTTTCCCCATTTCGCCCTGTTTTCTTCACATCTGGTTCTCCTTACCTCTCATCTTTTTCTACCTGTCTTCCCTGTCTCTCTCACTCTTTCCTCCTTTCTTTCTCCCTCCTTTATTCACATCTCTGACCTGAACCCAATGGGTAAGACCCTATCCATTGAATCAAGGGGGCTTGCTTGTGTGTTGAGTCAACATTGAAGGCACCTATGCCATTGAGAAGAATAATAGGGTTCTGGTCTTGAGTTCCTGTCTTATCCTCCCCAAACCTTTCTCCCTGTCTTCTCTGTCTCTCTCACTTGTTCCTCCTCTCTTTCTCCCTCTCTCCCTCCTTTCCTGAACCCAATGAGTAAGATCCTATTAGGTTAGACCCATTTAATTGAAGGGACTTGCTTGTGTGTTGAGTCAACATTGAAGGCACCTATGCCATTGAGAAGAATAATAGGGTTCTGGTCTTGAGTTCCTATCTTATCCTCCCCAAACCTTTCGACCTGTCTTCTCTGTCTCTCTCACTCTTTCCTCCTCTCTTTCTCCCTCTCTCCCTCCTTTCCTGAACCCAATGAGTAAGATCCTATTAGGTTAGACCCATTGGATTGAAGGGACTTGCTTGTGTCAACATTCAAGGCACCTATGCCATTGAGAAGAATAATAGGGTTCTGGTCTTGAGTTCCTGTCTTATCCTCCCCAAACCTTTCTACCTGTCTTCTCTGTCTCTCCCACTCTTTCCTCCTTTCTTTCTCCCTCTCTCCTTCCTTCCATCATATCTCTGGCCTGAACCCAATGAGTAAGACCCTATTAGGTTAGACCCATTGAATTGAAGGGACTTGCTTGAGTGTTGAGAACATTCAAGGCACCTATGACTGAAATCAATCAATAGGTCTTGAGTTCCTCTCCTATCCTGCCCAATCATCCCCAGCCTGTAACCCCAATCATCCCCAGCCTTCAACCCCATCATCCCCAGCCTGGCAAGAGCAATAGGACCTATAGTACCAGCATATCTGTGTGGAAGGGAGCAACAATTCCTTTCCTGCTTCCATTCATCTTTTGGCTTCGTTCCTTCCTCTCTACGGCATCATCTCTCTATTTCTCCAAAGTGCCTAGCTATCCCTCCTTTTCCCTTCTCAGTTTCCATCATCCCTAGCCAGGTGGGAACAATGGGATCTGTAGTCCAAGAATATCAGTGCTGAAAAGAGCAACAGTTTCCTTCCTGACTCCATTCATCTCTCGAATTCCTTCATCCCTCTCTGCAGCCTTGTCATCTTCGTCTCTCTCTCTTTCTCCAAAGCTCTTGTTTAGTGGGTTGTTGTAGGTTTTTTCAGGCTATAGGGCCATGTTCTAGAGGCATTTCTCCTGACGTTTCGGCTGCATCTATGGCAAGCATCCTCAGAGGTAGTGAGGATGCTTACCTCACTACCTCTGAGGATGCTTGCCATAGATGCAGGCGAAATGTCAGGAGAAATGCCTCTAGAACATGGCCATATAGCCCGAAAAAACCCTAAAACAACCCAGTGATTCTGGTCATGAAAGCCTTCGACAATACTCTTGTTTATCATTCATTCTATTCTTTTCCCTTCTTGCTTTCCCTTGGAATCTTCTCCCACTCTCCCAGCCATTCCTCCTTATCAGCCACTGCCTTCTGGATCAGTTTGCTCCCCGCCATCTCTCCTTCCCCTTCTCCAGCTCCAATGATTGAGTCTCTCTCCTTGTAAACAGCACGTCCAGCCTTGTCTCTATGCACTTTTTGAGCCCCCTTCCCCTTATCGTGGGGGGATTTTCATCACTTGCCAAGGGGGTCCAAGCACACACCAGGCACACAAAATGTGTTGACTTTTCCACCTAGCTTCCCCCCTTTTTGCTCTCCTCTTGGCTGCCAGTCAAGCCTTTGCACCAAGCTGCATGCAGTGTTATGGGGTGATAAGAATGGGGTGAATGTGGGGTGCTGTGAGGATGGGGCGGAAGGGCCAGAGGTGGGATCAATGGGGTCACTGGATTCCTCTCTTTATTGCATTGGCCTGGTTTCCATTGCCATCCAGTGTTTTCCTCCTGCCTGCATGTAGCCAATGGTCCAGAATGCAGCCTTGGACGTGGCTGCCATGTTTGGCTTTCCTCTGCCAAGGATCCAGAGCTGAAAGAGGCAAAAACAGGTCCTGGTGTCTTGATGGCACTTGCCATAGTCTGATCTGGGTGCAGCATGTTTATCTTGAGAGAAGGGAGCATGAGAGCCACATTTAAATATGGGAAAGGATGTCCCATTGAGGAGGGAGAAAGCTTCTTTTGGTGCTCTAGAGACTAGGACGCAACAGAGCAATTGATTCATATTGCGGGAGAAAGGATTCAACCTCAACATCAGGAAGAATTCTGGGATTCTGGTGGAGTCTCGTTCTCTGGAGGTTTTTAAGCTGGATGGCCATCTGTTGGGAGGGTTTGGGTTGTGTCTTCCTACCTGACAGAATGGGATTGAAATGGATGGCCATTGGAGTCTGCTCCAACTCTTGATTCTGTGATTCTGTGTGAGTATACCTCCTACAGCCAAATGCCTTCACTGAAAAGGCATAGTTGGCATGCTTAGAGGGAGGTTTTACCAATGCCATGGCAGAGCACCAGGAAGGAAATACATCGGATTATTATTATTATTAACGTGGTTAAAGTGGGATTAAAGTGCAATCATTCTACAGTGTAGAAGCACCTTAAGTTTTCAACCATTGAATCATCTTTGTCATGTTGTTGAAGGCTTTCATGGCCAGAATCACTGGGTTGCTGTCAGTTTTCTGGGCTGTGTGGCCATGTTCCAGCAGCATTCTCTCCTGACGTTTCACCTGCATCTGTGGCTAATGGCATCTTCAGAGGTTCTGTTGGAAGTGAGGCAAGTGGAGTGTATATATATCTGCAAAATGTCCACAGTGAAGAAAGAACCCTTGTCTGTTTAAAGAAAGTGTGAATGTTGCAATTGTTGTTGTTCATTCGTTCAGTCACTTCTGACTCTTCGTGACCTCATGGACCAGCTAATTGCAACATTAATATTGCAATTATTATTGCAATTAATATTGCAATAATAATTGCAATATTAATAAATGCAATAATAATTGCAATATTAATAATTGCAATAGTAATTGCAATATTAATAATTGCAATAATAATTGCAATATTAATGTTGCAATTAGCAAGCTTGAATAAGCATTTGATTAGCCATGAAGCTGCAAAGTCAATCAGTGAGGGTAGTTGCATAGAGATAGCTTTGCCTCTGTTGCCTGGAGGCATCCTGTGTTTGTGAGGTATTCACTGGCAATTGATTGTTGGCTGTCTGGAGTTCTCCTTTTTCTGTGTGATTTCCCTTATT